TGCTTTATTCTCTGGCCCTATTGGAGAAGGTGACTCTCTTAGGGCTGAGATCCTTGCAGCGCTTGAAGGAATTCGAAGAGCAAAGAAATTAAATATCAGTCGTTTGATCCTGGAAGGTGATTCGAAGGTGGTGGTTAGTTGGTTGAAGACAGAGAACAATGGTTTGTGGAAATTTAACATTGAAAAAAAAACAGTTCTTATGGCTGGGTAGGGACATTGAGATTCAGTACATTTGGGTGAAGAGGAGTGCCAACTCATTTGCGGATGGGTTGGCCAAGCAAGGAGTGAATAGGGAGTCTGTTTTTTGGGCTAGTTTTTAATCTTTTCTCTTTGCATTGCCTTTTTTTCTGTTTTTCGGGAGGTAAGATATTTTATCTCCCCTTTTGTATCCATATTCCCTCTTTTCTTTTAATTTAATGAAGCTGGTGTTATTGATCAAAAAAAAAAAAAAGAGACAACAAGGCAGGTGGAAGAGAAATAAACACTTTAATAAGTAATTATGCCCCTTTCTGCATTTTGATGCAAGTTTATAGAGCATAGGCGAGTTTTGGGCTAGATTGGGTAGATCTGATATTGAGTCACAAAGAAAATACACCAACACAGACCTTATAGAGTGTAGGGTACCAGTTCTATAACTAACCTCTTTATTACTCAGATCTATTGGGTAGGACTTTATGAACCAATCATAACTATCCACATAAAAAATTGAGAAAATAAGCATTATATTTTTCTAACAAATACAATGTAATCTCATATAAATTATAACTGGCATGCTTATTCCGTATTTGGATATTCATAGATGACATCTTTGATCTCTTTCTTTACCTATTCATCAGCTTATTCTGGTAGAAAGCAACAAAGAGCTTTGCAATACTTAGACCACTGCAAACTTAATTTTCACCTTTGCAAATGGCTGATAACCAGGAATTAGGATTCACTTGTAGGCATTGTACCTGAAAATCTACATATCAAGAGTCAAAGGGGGCGACAATTGATGTTTATGAGGCCTGTACTTTCTTGCAGTTTGTCACTGCAACATCACTCTTTCTTGTGCCCAAAACACTTAACTGATTCCATGGTTGCTTTTTTTTATTTTTTTATGAGTAATTAGTTGAAATAATTAAAAGAACAGTGTATATACAATTACAAAGTTCGAGTCTAAATCTTGTCTTCCCGGATAATCCAAATCATTGTTGCTCAAATGCATCTCCACATAATCATTTCCTTTT